ACAAAGAATTATATTTATATATAATTTAATAATATATATATATATTCATATATATATTTATATATAGGGTTATGTTCTAGTCAAAAATTTTAAAATCTTTATTTAGTTCGGATTAGACATAAAAAAATAAAATGTGATAACAAAAATTTTAAAAAACCTACAACGTGTATCCTAATACTGTTAAAGGGATTGTAGACGTGATTTAAACTGACCCTCGTTTTATACTGGCATTTCCGATTCATAACGGTACACTTAACAGCTTTCCCTGGTCAAGATATCCGTGTTTATCAATTTGTAAACCGATACTTTTCAAGTGTGGTTTGTTTGGAAGTATCAGGATTATTATTTATTATCTATATTTATCTTCCATATTACTAACCAGATAAAAAGTTCAAGGGTACCCTTGTGAATCAGGCATCCACTTTTTTTAATGGAGGGTCATGAACAGTCCCTTGAATAATTAAACTCTATACTCTACTCCACACAAAGAGATAAATATTTTATCCCAGACGTTGGAATCAACTATTAAGAGATCTAGATATGAAACTCAAGCTCTATCCATTAAAAACCCACTATTCATTTGGTCAGAGCTCTACTGTAAATTACTAAAGCTTAATTTGGGGTGTAAAATCTAGTTTATTTCCTTTCAGAGTGATCTCGACGTAGGAGAAAAAAATAACTTAATTAGACCGGGCTTAATTCAAGAGTCTCGCCAGGCCTTTCCAAATGTTTAGACTTTTCTCGTATACTTTGTTCTGGATAAAATTAACGTCCTGGCTATCGTAACAATCTCAGATGTTTTTAATCTCTCATTCAAAATGTAGAAGAACCAGACATTTAATATTTAAAACGTAGAGGCCAACAACAAAAGAGAGGTTATAATGGAAAAGCTTGCTGTCATTTAAACCAGGACCTCTAATTGACTGACAATCGATCACATCTGACAAATTGGGATTAACAAAAAATTAATAGTTCTTCAAACTGAAAAAATCCAGTTCATTATGATTATTATGATTATTGAGCAATGAATATGTTTGTGCATTAAAAACTTGAACTATTTTGAACTCCCATTTTCTCTTGATAATCCAAAGAAACTTTTTCTTTTATTTAAATCTGTAAAAGAATTGGTTTATGGAAAGTGAAAATTCAAATATGTAAAATGAATTCAATGATAACCTTCATAAAACTATCGACTGCCAGTATTCCACGAATTTTCAAAATTGCATTGACAGAATTTTAATCATAAATTTCAGAGTTGCCGTATGGGTTGGAATCGAAAATCCCCTAAAACGAGACAAATGCATCACAAAAAATACCCGAAAAGGAAAAACAGGTTACAGCTTACAAG